ATTTCTCGAAAATTCAGATTACGTAACAATACAAAGTTGCACTAGCGTTTACGTACACACTTATATTGTTGATTCTTACAGTCGAGAATCTTCTACAACTTTAGAGAATAGGCGGGAATTTCGCAATACATATTTAACAGTATACGTTACGTACATTTCTAAATATAAATTAATGTAAACAAACATCGATAATAAATATAATAGTAAATCCGTCAAAACGTCCATCACAAAACTTTAATTAAAATTCACATTCTCTTATTGTACGTGTTTTCAAACTTACTCTCGTTTTTTGTCAGTTTAACTTAACATTTTAACAAATACGAAAGGGTAGAAGAGCTACAACGTTTATGTAATAATGTGGTGTAACTGGAAATGTTCGTGTCATCTCTAACAACAGCTTGTGTAACCATTGTTTAAAGACACATTATAAGTGCTCGATTTTTTTAGGACCTTTCAGAAGAATTTATCAGGACCAGCTATGGTATAGAACTTTTTTTCAAGGGGTCATCGCTAATGGATTGTAGATGTTCAATAGCTAAAGTTCATCCTTTAATTATGAATTGTTTTTTGGTAGTTTTCGGAGTTTAACAAAAATTAAAGTCAGTTTCAGGTTCAGAAGGTCACAACGGGTAGTGAGTGAGTGAGTGAGGGGGTTTTATGTATTTGTTTGCTTTTATTTTAGAAATATTTGTAGTTTACTTATTTACCACTTGGTTGTGCTTGTTTCTGAATAAGTGGCCCCCTAGTGGCACAGCAGTATGTCTGTGGACTTACAATCCTAGAATCCGTGTTTCGATACCCGTGGTGGGCAGAGCACAGATAGCCCATTGTGTAGCTTTGTGCTATATTACAAACTAACAAACAAACTGAATAAGCGATGTTTCTCAATATTAATTAGCTAAAGTATGAAAATTGTGGAAAAGCAAAGGCAGCTTGTGTTGGCATTTAAGTTTTGTTTGTTTGTTCTCCAACCGTATTGTAGGAAAATTCTGTGTCCAATTAGCTAATACATAGAGGCATATCGTTAATATTCATCCATCATCCATTCTGATAAACTTTTCTTTGTTTCACAAGTTTACACTTGAACAAGTATTCCAGGTCGCCTTCTGTTTCCTCTTCTTTCTTTCTTTTTTTACTGCCAACCTCTCATTTTACCTGAAAATTTACAAAATTTTATAGTTTCAGTGGTCCGTGTTCATGAATTATTCACTTGGATAGAAAAACTATAAAGTTATTTGTTATAGTAACTTCTACCTTCTAGTTGTAAAAATATGCAACCCAAAAATGAGTTAGTGAGATCAATATTAACATAAATATTGTTACGACAGCGGAAGTCACGTGACGCTGCTGGCGCATCGGCGCTGGTAGCGTATGCGAGGAGTTTCTCGAGTGATCATGAATTATCGGGGAAGACCGAGTTTGTTCGGGACGCACTCTTTTTTTTAGTATATACGCCTGGCAGTGAAAGCCTGTGGGATTGAATGAAGATAGTTTCGGGTAATTTACGATTCTGTTTCGAGCTACTGTGTGTTTTCGAGATTGTGAATCGCTGTGATTTATAGCGTGTATTATAAAAGTAGTTAAGTCTAAAGTGATGAGAAACGTACTGATTGTAAAATTACTGTGTACTAAAAGTTTGTATCGAGAAAGAATAAACTGGGTAAATCAAGAAGGGACATGTATCGCTGAAGTTCCTCGGAAAGAATTTATACCAGAAATTAACAAACAAGCAGATACGTAACAATATTTTGGTGGACAGTGTGCCTCATAGAACTACACCGATACAACAAAAGTAATAAATTTGAAAGGAAAAACCTAAAACATGGTTAAACTGTCATTTATAATGAAAAAACAAAACAACAACAATAATTAGGAATTATAGTGCTTTGCTTAATATTTTTTTTTCTTTTCAAGAAAAATTCATGTTAATAAATATTAAGAAAAAAATACCACACTTACGTGAAGAAATTACGTACATATTATAGTTTGAGAATTATTAAATACAATCTTGTTGGTGTATAATTGCAAGTCATACGGGTCCCCCAGTGGCACAGCGGTATGTCTGCGGACTTACAACGCAAGAAACCAGGTTACGATACCCGTGGTGGGCAGAGCACAGATAGTCCATTGTGTAACTTTGTGCTTAACTTCAAACAAATAAGTAATACGGGGGGAAAGCTCGTTTAACTGTGTATACGTGGACATTTCTCTCAGCCAATCAGAGTTTTGGAAGAATTTTGTTTTACTCTCTTTATGCGTCTCTGTGTGTGCGTGCGCGCGCACGCCTGTGTATTAATATTATTCGTGTAATGTATTTTTGGAACAGTTTTGAACCGAATATTGTTCAGAAATTAAAGACAGTCTTTGAGGGATGAATAAAAAAATATTCGCATTCTATTGGAGGAGAGTGGGTGAGTGTTGACGTTGTACTAGAGTTTCTGTTCTCATAATCTTTAATATTTTAAATATATGTATAAAGAGACGCACAATCTGATCTGACTTCACTTACCCAGGCTTGATGTTCGAAAGCAGATGAACTGCATAAGAAAAAATAATAACGATGTATAATCAACACTCATGTTATAGTATCTTCTGTGAAATTGTTATTATAGTTTTTCTTAGTTATTCATGTATCAAATATTTTTTATTATTCCTTGCCTGTATCTTTTTTGCGCAACCTTTTGTACAAACAAAACTGTGTTCAGTAAGCAACGAAATATTACAGATAAAAACCACTAAGAAATAATTCATTAAGAAAACGCCAGAATTAGCCTTGAAATATCGGAATTTTGTTTTCATAGTGGTTATCCGTACATGTTAAAGATATTACAGCTATAATATGACCCCCCCCCCAGTGGCACAGCGGTGTGTCTGCGAACTTAAAACGCAAGAAACCAGGTTTCGATACCAGTGGTGGGTAGAGCACAGGTAGCCATTTGTGTAGCTTTGTGCTTAATTACAAACCTATAATATGATGTATGAAAAACTTGGTATCTTGATTGAAGAATGATTTTGTAGCCATTATAAACTTAACTATGATTACTTTATCATATATTAAAAATTTGTATTAACACTTTATTTCCATAATTAAGATCTTTCCGTAAGTCGTGTTATAACTGTAATACTACACTATCCAAAAATAGTAAGCGTGTTGAGGTAGCTTTAAGTCAGTTAGTAGTAGGGTCAGTTGATGTTTTTTTTTTTTATAAAGATAAATAAATGACATGAAAATAATAAATAAAGAAAAATAAAATCGTTCTACCAGAAGAAAGCTCAGCTTTTTCATTCTTTTTGTAAGATTGCCTGTTTTTATTTGAATATCTTCTGAAATGAACAAGATTCCAGAAAAATAGTGAATACTTCTTTTTCATTTTGTTACTGGTGTTTTCTTTTTTAAAGCTAGAACACTAAACTCTTAAAATATATAACTTTAGAAATGTATATCAAATCTGAATGTCCATTCTTCGTTCCAGGTTTGCGTGAAGATGATTCGTATGTAGGTCCAGTATTAGCTTAGCTATACCGTTGTGCAGTCCATCTTCAAGATGTTTTCCATACAAATTTTCTCTTGGTTGCTCTATTTTGTGTTCACTAGTCCCGGGGTTGTAAGGAGTACGGATATATATAGATTTACCCAACTAGTGTACAATGCAACAATTCCTGAAAATGTGGTTGGAAAGGTTTATGTTACGTCTTCCGAGAAAATGGGATTATTCATTTCGGATCCGCTATTAACTGTTAACTACAAGATCATAGATGGAAATGAAAAGAATTTTTTTAAAGCTGAGGAAGTTCGTGTTGGGAACTTTTGGTTTCTACGTATTAGAACCAGAACTGGTAGTGACGTCCTCAATAGGGAAAACATTGACCATTATATTTTAAAAGTCAAAGCAATAATTAGAATAAAATCAAAATCCCGATATTTTAAACGAAAAACTAAAACTGAAGTGCACGTTAAAATATTGGATAAAAACGACTTGAACCCGTTATTTCCTCCTGATGGTGATGTGTATCATGTGACAGTCCCTGAGGACACTGCGCTGTACCAGACTATTGCTAAAGTTAGTGTTTATGATTCAGACATTGGTGTTAATGGTGAGGTTTATTTTAGTTTCAAGAATCCCACCTTTCAGTTTGCAATTCATCCTACTATGGGTACCGTGTCTTTAACCCGTTCCTTAAACTATGAGAAGCAAAAGGAATATGAATTGACCATCATCTCCCAGGATCGGGGACCCAAGCCGCGCACTGGAAGAATAATTGGAGTTAGCTCAGCTGCCTTAAAAGTCTCTGTAACACCAGCAAATTATCACGCTCCTAAGATTTTTGCAAGGCACTTCTCCACAGTGATGGAAAACAGCATTCCTAATATATATGCCATAGTTCGAGTTAGTGATACTGACAGTGGTAATCATGGAAAAATAAAGGGATTGGAAATTTCTGATGGTGATCCATATGGGTATTTTCATGTCACCAGCGGTAACGCACCAAATGATTTCTACATTAAGAGTTCAAGGCTTTTTGACCGAGCAAGGGACCCAACTTTTTTCAATCTAACTCTGAAAGCCACCGATAGAGGTACTCCTCCAAAATCATCCACTGAGATCATCTCTGTTCAGGTGACTAATACCAATTATTATCCTCCTGTGTTTGAGAAGAATAGCTACCATGTAGAAGTAGAAGAGGTAGCTCCAGTGAACACTCCAGTTCTGACTGTTAAAACTAACAGTGTGGTTAGGCCGACTAGAATTATATACAACATTGACAGCGGAAATGAGCAAGAAGTATTTAATATTAACCCTTTAACAGGACTGATAGCCACTGTCAAACCGTTAGATCGGGAAAAGAAGTCTATGTACTCAATTATTATCAGTGCTAACGAACAGAGTTTCGAAATTAACAGAAAGAAAGGAATCGCTACTGTAAACATTAAGGTTTTAGACAATAATGACAACAACCCAGTCTTCAACTCTTCTTCAGTTGTGACTGTTCACTTTGATGAAAACAGGCCTATTGGAAGTGTGGTGTACACCGTTAATGCATTAGATTTAGATGAGAGAGATAATGGTTATGTTTCCTATAGTTTAGCAAACATCAATCCTGTCCCATTTAGTATTGATCATTTTTCGGGCCAGATTAAGACTTCAGATGTGCTGGATTACGAAACAATGAGGAGAGAATACTTATTGAAAGTACGTGCGTCGGACTGGGGCTCCCCATTTGCACGTCAATCCGAAATTTCCGTGAGGGTTCGCTTAAGGGATGTGAATGATCATAGGCCTCAGTTTGAAAAGGTTGACTGCGAGGGATATGTATCTAGGCAGGCTGCAGTGGGAACAGAGGTTCTAACACTGTCAGCCTTGGACTTCGATGCAGGAAGCATTGTCAGCTATCGCATGGTACATCCAGATGATAACTCCTGTTTTCAGTTGAATACTGTTACTGGAGTCCTTACTCTAACCTGTGATCTGACGCAGCAAAAGTTTTTGGAGAAGTACGTGAACGTTTCGGCTACAGACGGGCAGCATTTCGCTGACATCATGTCTATACATATTAAAATTATAAGCGAATCTCGCAGTCATCCAATAGGAGGTATTCAAGGGCTGAGACTGGCTAATAAAGATGCTCTCGTAGAATGCCGAGACATGGATGTTATCGACAGAATGAAGAAACAGATGGAACTTGGAAAAAGAAATAACAAACAACAAGACGAAAATGACGTTACAGAACCCACACCTGTCAGGTATGTAGAGAATCTACATGCCCCCCAGTTTTCAAAAGGGTTACCTACTGAGATAGAAGTGGATGAGGGCGTACCTTTAGGTACTAATGTCGTGACGTTAACTGCAGAAGATGGCGACCATGGATATAATGGAAAATTAGTATACGTTATTTCAAACGGAAACGAAGACAGCTGTTTTAAAATTGACATGCATTCAGGAAATCTTGAGGTAATCGGGGATATAGACAGGGAAAGAAGGTCAAAATACGTATTAAACGTTACGGTTTTTGATCTCGGTCAACCTCCAAAAACGACTTCTAGGACGCTAGTTATTTATGTACAAGATGTTAACGACAATGTTCCAGTGTTTGAGAAAGCTTCGTATGATTTTTATATCATGGAAAATTCCAGAAACGGTACCAGCATTGTTCGGCTTCGTGCCTCAGATAAGGACAAAGGCTTAAATGCCAAACTTCATTTTTCATTGGTCACAGATACTCAAGACTTCCATATTGATCCTGATAGTGGACTCCTGACTGTAAACGGAACACTTGACAGAGAAAATGTTGAACATTATCGCCTCAAAGTACGCGTGTTTGACTCGGGAATTAATCAACCGCTGTCATCTACTGCTGTGGTTAACATTTGGGTGTTGGACGTGAATGATAATTATCCAAAGTTCAGTCGACGACAGTATATGGCCAAGATTAGAGAGGATCAGCCAGTTGGGTCCGTAATCATGATTCTTTCAGCACATGATTCTGATCTGGACGCTGGCGGAAAGGTACATTATGAATTAGAAGGCAACGTCACTAGCATTTTTCAAATTGATCCAGAAATGGGCGTAGTTAGATTAGCAGGAATGTTGGATTTCGAGAGCCGACCAATTTTTAATTTGACAGTCATCGCACGTGACAAGGGAGATCCCCCGTTGTCATCTAGTGTTTCATTACTTATTGAGGTAGAAGACGTCAATGAAAACGAACATGCGCCAATGTTTCCACGTTTTGCGGAAGAAGGAAAGGTACGAGAGAACCAACCAGAAGGAACCTTTGTGATGCAACTGAGTGCTCAAGACGAAGATCCAGAAGGGTTAAACAGCAAAGTTACCTACTTTATTAAAGGGGATGATGGGATGGGCATGTTCTCAATTGACGATAATGGTGAGTAGAATATTTGTTATATTTATTACATTATTATTTTCACTACTGTTCACTTTATTGCTTGAGGAAAATGTCACTCATGATATTTAGAGATATTAGCTCACAATACATTTCTCACTAACAGATTAAAAAATAATACTTTCGAAATATTCAATTACCACACGAAATCCTGCTTTTATAGTTAATAGAATGCAGTACCCTTTCACCACCAAATATAACATTAGTGATTGAGTTGCTTCAGACCGAGATACGAATCTACCTATATTGTTATCGAATCAAACACATTGTTTGAAATTAATAAGCAACAACATTTAAAATGGGCGTGCTAAATGTCCTTAGATCTTGGGTTTGAATAATTTAATAGGACGTTCATTTCCACATTAACAGTTTATTGGTTTTTTGGGCGAGTGAGGTTGTTCAGTGTAAAACGTCATAGATCAAGATCTTACAACAAAACGTTAATTAGTTTTGCAATAATTCTGTCCACTCTTACCCGATAACCAATCCAAACGAGCTCGAAGACACGTTCTATAACTTCATTTAAATTTCTCACCCAATAAGGCTTTGATATGTAGTCTGCGACTGTTATTTTACTTTATATTGCTCCAAGGTAAGAGGTTGAGGCATTTTAAGATACGATGTCGATATATTAGTAATGGAAAAGATGCGATTTATAGCTAAGTGTATATCAGGGCGGCGACGATAGTAGATTTTTAAAGTGATTTTGTGGTTATGTTACTATACTAAAGTCAACATAGCAAAAGGCAGATTTGTATTTTGCAGGAATATGAGGACCGTCGATTTTTTTGAAAACTATTATATTTTCATCGTCATTAAATAAACCTCTCAAAAGCTCAGGTTTGTTCATGACGAAATTACATATAATGAGTATAATGCTCTGTAAAGATGATCTGAACTATGTTTAATTCCTGGCTACTGAGGAATATATAACAAAAAAACAGCGGATTCCTTCCACGTGGAGCTTTTTGTATGTTCCTCATAAGTGTCCCCCAGTGGCACAGCGGTAAGTATACGGACTTATAACGCTAGAAATCTGGTTTCGATACCTGTGATAGGTACAGCACAGATAGCCCATTGTATAACTTTGTGCTTAATTACAAACAAACAAATTCTCACAAGTTTGGTTGCGTGTGTATTTTTTCCCATATGTTACCATGAGCTTTTCTTCGAATCTGATAATAATGCACGTGGAGATACTTGTACTACCCGAACGATGCTACCTTTAGAAGGACGTTCTTATGTCTGTGATTCCGAGAAAACTGATGCGAGAGGAAAAGATCAGCCATGATTTTATTATGCGAACTCGATGCTATCATTGTTTTATTCCCTCGAAAAGGTCATTGTTCCTCATAACATGCGTCCTGTTCTGTAATTTAACAGCTTCACTATGTTATTGTAATTGCTTAATTGCCAATTTAATCTCTAACCTTAATCAACAGCCACTTAACTTTTTTAATGAACTTGGCTGTTATAATTTGCATCAGTGTCGTGCCTACTTACCAACTGGCCCTGGATCAAGCAAGACGCGTTGACTTGACGACTGGAATAGGGTACAGTAGAGCAGTCGAAACTTTGGTTAACCTTAGCTGTCCAGCCGGTTTTATTTCTCGCAGGTCATTTATTGTCAGTCATATCTCCCCCCCCCTCCCACCCCTGTCTGTCTCTCTTGCTCACACGCACGTTCCCACGGTCAACTATCCATTAAAAAAACCCAGACTAAACATTCTAGGTATCTTCTTACAATCGCTACTTGAAGTTTGTTTGTGTCGAGAATAATTACTGTTTGTCGTTGCTTACTGACTTGTTAACATTATCTACGAGGCATGCTAACCCTATCTTCTTCCCTCTTCCTGCATATCGTTCCGTCTATTGTGGCTAAAAAGGATTTGCATCTTGTTATTCAAAAACAATGGGAATGAGCGATGTAAGTATCAGGTGGCAGTTTAGTACATCTCGAGCGATCTGTGTGTAAACATGCCAATAAATTGCATTTTAACTTTTAGCTCAATGTAGTTTACTGACACTAACAAGTCCTTTTCCTGTATTGATATTATGTTTGATCACAAACATTTGGGGATTTGTTTTAACAACTGCAAATGTGAGACAACTTAAAGGGCAGTTCACGTGTTAATTATTTGACAAAAGTGAGCACTATATACAGGATATATATACTGAATTACAGGAAAGCATGAGTAGGTAAACAGGCAAAATGGCACATTCCATGTGTGTTTTGTCAAAATGGCGTGGTTTTAATTCAGACTCAAGCGTTTACAGCGTGAATTCACAAAGATAATTATACAGACGCAAAACAGGTGGTTAGGGCGCTCGACTCGCAATCTGCGGGTCGTGAGTTCGAATCCCCGCTCCACCAAACATGCTCGTCTTTTCAGTCGTGGAGGCGTTATAATGTGACAGTCAATCCCACTATTCATTGATAAAAGAGTAGCCTAAGAGTTGGCGGTGGGTGGTGATGAGTAGCTACCTTCCCTCTAGTCTTTCACTGCTAAATAATAAATGATTAGCGCAGATAGCCATCTTGTAGCTTTGCGCGAAATTCAAAACAACCCAAACCAAAATGAAGAAAAAAGCTCTTGTGAGTCAGAATGTGGTAAATAAGTTTAATTCCGAAACCCTGTTTAGTTATTTTTTTTGTATATTAAATCCGTCAATATGATAATGCTAAATAACATTATCTTGTCCATTTATTAGATGAAATCATACCACTATCTCAAAGTTATCTTCCAAAGATGATAGTCCAGTGGATGTTTTAAATGTTTTTCTTTTAATAAACATTTCTTACTGACAGAAGTTCTTGAAAATACCGCAAAAAAGCTACCGCGTGAATTTTTTTTTAGGACTGTGTATCTGTGACATAAATTTGAGAAAATTGTAATCTTCTTTTAGGAATATTTGTTATTACTTTTGTGGGCTTTTCTATCTGATGGTTCTGTATCCATCTTTCACTCGTGGCTACCGCGTCCATTTAAAAAATAATAATTTCAGAACTGGTTTCTGTGACATAAATTTTAGAAAATTGTAATCCTCTTATAGGAATGAATATTTGTTATTACTTTGTGGGCTTTTTTATCTGGTGGTTCTGTATTCATCTTTCACTCGTGTATGTAAATTCCTGGTCAACCTACCCGAAAGCACAACAGATTAAAAACTCCAAGTTAATTAATTCACTACGATCTGGTTTTATGGTTCATGTTAAGCTAGTTTGATCAAGCAACAAGTAAGGTGAAAGTCACTCATAAAGCATGCAAAAAAGTCACCGAAATGAAATTAATCAGTATATATAAATTCACTTAGCACTATCCTAATACATACACACACAAAAAAAGAATTTCTTGGGTGAGCTGTAATGTATGTTATACATACAGTTATTTCTTACACATATTATCAGTCTTCCAAACATTCAAATATCACCGCAATAAAATATGATATATTTTGCCCTATGAAATGCCAGTCTTCCTTCAACCTTGGTATAAATACATGTTAAATAGCTCATTAAAACACCAATAATAAACTGTTGTCTGAGTTAACATCAAATGTTGTTAAATAACAAAGGCCCTACTTCAAACTTCACATCAGTACAAATTTTGTAAGGATATCACAAGAGCTGATGATGTTATTGCAGATATAGTGATTTAAGACGCAACTTTTGGGGTGAAATGTCTGACAAGGGTACCTGAATATATCCATGTTCAATAACATGTCAGAATGGGTTGACTATTTCACACCTTTTTTATTTTATTTTTTGGAGATACTAATACATTAAAAAAATAAAGTTGTGCCTTGTTCTACCAAAGAGAACCTCAAACGATGAAATATTATAAATAATGTTAGGGTATAAATTATAAACAAAGTCATGTCCAGAAGTGGCATGTTTCATCACAATGCCATATTAATCATAAGAATAATATAAATTATGTCATACAGTATTTAAAGCCATTATAGAAGCTTCATTTTGGAGTTATTACAATTTTCATGATTTTCGATGTGGTGTTCCACAGCACATCTTTTTCACCTATGAATATTCATACATAAATACATGTGAAAACATGTTATTTTTTTCACAACCATCCATTTCATACTTTTAACATACCAATGCATTAAAAGGTTGTGTTTTGTTTTACCGTGGTGAGGGGTTCACCCCCAGTACAGGCCCTATGCCACAGCACTATAAGCTATGTGCATTTAGAAGGTGAAACATTTTTTGTTTATGCATATACGAAATGAGTTCAGTTTCATGTATATGCCAAATTATGAGAAATCGAAAGACGTGGACCGGGCGTGACCTAGTGGGTAACGTGAATCTGAGTTCATGGTTCAAGTCCCGCTGTCGTAAAAACGCGCTATTACATTGGGGCTGTGGGTGCGCTATAAGAGTGACGGTCAAATCCCACTATTCAATTAGATTAGAATAGCTAAAGGTCTGGCACTGAATGCTGTTGATCAGCTACTTTCCATCCAGTATCATGGCCTGGTGGTTAGGGCGCTCGACTCGCAACCTGCGGGTCGGGGGTTTGAATTTCCGTCACACCGAACATGTTCGCCCTTCCAACTGTGGGGCGTTATAATGTGAAGGTCAATTCCATTATTTCTTGGTAAATGAGTAGCTCAAGAGTTGGCGGTGGGTGGTGATGACTAGCTGCCTTTCCCCCAGCACATCTAGTCGGTCAGTTAAACATTAGAAACTCCTATGCACAGATAATCCTTTGTGTACATGAAAAACTCCAAAAACGAACAAAGAAAAAGAAATTGAAGCGTGTACGACTTGCAAAGTATCAGAAAACGTTATTCGTTTTGAAAATCACGTATACTGAATCGAAAATGCAAATGATTATCTTAACTCGTTTTCCGAGAGATACGTATCGATTTCTTATGAACTGCAGCAGTAATTAGGTTTGGTTTGAATTTCGCGCAAAGCTACACGAGGGCTATCTGCGCTAGCCGTCCCTAATTTAGCAGTGAAA